CTTGAAGTCCTAGCTAAAGCAATAAGACAACTAAAAGAGACCAACAGGATACAAACTGGAAAGGAAGAAGTCAACGTATCTTTACTTACAGATGATATGATAGCATACATAAAATTCAACTGAGAAACACTTTCAGGAAAGTAGCTGGATACAAAATTTACTTGCAAATATATATACAAATGACAAACAGACTGAGAAATAAATCAGGGAAAAAACACCTTTCACAATAGCCTCAAATAATATAAAATACCTTGGGGTAACTCTAACCAAACTAGTGAAAGATTTGTATGATAAATACTTTAAGACACAATAGAAAGAAATTGAAGAAGATATCAAAAGATGGAAAGATCTTCCATGCTCATGGATGAATAGGATTAACAGTAGAAAATGGCCACCCTACTAAAGCAATACACAGATTCAATGCCATCCCCATCAAAATTTCAACACAATTTGTCACAGATCTTGAAAGGACAATTTTCAGCTTTATATGGAAACACAAACAGTCCAGGATAGCTAACACCTCTGGATAATAAGAGAATTTCTGGAGGTATCAGCATTCCCCACCTCAAAGCATACTACAGAGCTATAGTAATTTAAAAAAAAAATAGTATGGTATTGGCACAAAAGTAAACACATTGATCAATGGGATTGAACTGAAGAACTAGACATAAATCCATACACCTATGGATGCCTTATCTTTATAATAAGGCCAGAAATACACACTGTAAAAAAAGACAGTATCTTCAACAAATGGTGCTGGTCAAACTGGATGGCTGCATGTAGAAGAATCTAAATAAATCCATATTTATCACCCTGCATAAAATTCAACTCCAAATGGATCAAAGACTATAGCATAAAACCAGATACACTGAACCTATTAGAAGAGGAAATGGGGAATAGCCTTAAACTCATTGGCATAGGAAAATATTTTCTGAACAGAACATCACAACAATAGGCACTGCCATGAGTACCAACATGTAAGATACTGGTAAGCCATGAGCCATGTGGCAAGGTATTGATTTATAGAAATGGGTTAATTTAAGATATAAGAACAGCTAGCTAGAAGCCTGAGCCATTAGGCCAAACAGTTTAAATAATATAAGCACCTGTGTGTTTATTTTATAAGTGGGCTGTGGGGGCTGGGCAGACCTGGAGAGAAGCTCTCTAGCTACAGCGAACAGTAGAGGGAATATAGGGAGGGACATCTAAAATCATGTGTCACTTGAGGGGTAGTATGGAAACCTAATATAGTAGACGCTTTCTAAAATATTTTTATACATGAAAGTAATCTAAACGAAATTGCCAAAAAATGGGGGAAATAGAACCTCACCTAACTAGCACTTGTCATCAAATGAAGCTTCTAATATTAGGAATGGGTTACATCTAATTGAGTTATTGGCCAAAAGGGTCCCATAGGAACCTCTAAACAACTCAAGCTGTTGGCAAGACTATAGGTTGCTCTCCACAAACTGATGGTAAGACCACATTGCTGAAGACAGCACCTACACAATTCACTGAACATAGAGAAATCAAGCTGGTGCCTCCATAGTGCCTTCACCCCTGTGGTGTGTTAGCATCTTTGGTTCAGGAAGGTACTCTGCAAGTGACCAAGGGAGAAATGTAAACACCAATCCAGCTACAAACCCGCTGGTCTGCAATGGTATTCTACCTGCAATATATGCTAGTGCAATAAAGGCACAAAGCTTGTAAAAGTAACCAACCAACATCTATTTTGACTTAAGACCCACTCGAAGAGGTAGAACCTCTGCCCCACACTGCTTGGGTGACCAAGAACCTGGGACTAGATAGCATGGGGACCTAGGGTAAAATCAAATACTATTGGTCTACTAAAAGAACACAGCAATAAAATGACTCCTAATGACATTCTGCTATACCCATAGATCAGTGCCTTGCTTAACCATCATCAGAGAAACTTCCTCCTGCATCAGATGGAAATACATACAGAGACCCACAACCAGACAATATGCAGAGAATGAGAGCCCTTGGAACACTCAGTCTAAATGAGATGTCTCCATCAAATCCCTCCCCACAAGGCTCAGGGTACCCTGCAAAAGAGGGGTGGGAAGAGTCTAAGAGCCAGAGGGGATGGAGGACACCAAGGAAACAAGGCCCTCTAAATCAACAGAATCAACACACAGAGACTGAGGCAGCATGCACAGGGCCTGCCTTCACGGGTCCTTTGGGTATATAGTATGATTTCCAGGTTAGTATTTTTATGGGATTCCCGAGTGTGCGAACAAATGGATCTCTGCATCTGTGTCTGTTTCTTGTGTCTTTTCTTGGGTTCTTTCCTCCTGTTTGTTTGTTTTGTCCAGTTCTGATGTGTTAGTTTTTTTGCTTTATCTTGTTATGTTTTATTTTATCCTGCTATTATCCCTAATAATAAAATAAAGAAGCCCGTTTTTTTCCTAATGAGAGACAGAAAGGTGGTGGATCTGGCTGGGCGGTGGTGGCGCATGCCTTTAATCCCAGCACTTGCGAGCCAGAGGCAGGCGGATCTCTGTGAGTTTGAGGCCAGCCTGTGCTACAGAGTGAGTTCCAGGAAAGGTACAAAGCTACACAGTGAAACCATATCGAAAAACAAAAAAAGGGGGGAAGAACTGGGAGACGTAGAGGGAAGAAAACCCATAATCAGTACATTTATGTGAGAAGGAGGATGGTATTCAATACTATTTATGCACAAGCTACAATTCCAGCTCTGGGGGAGTACAATGAAAAGAAACATGAGTCTCTGTGTACCGGTCCCTTGTGCAAACTATTGTTCTTTTTCTAATTAGCATACAAAATGATGGATTTCATTAGACTTTTTTATACACATATACCATGATACTTTGCTCATATTCCTATACCCCCATTACCCCCTCCTTAGTCTCCCTCCTACTAATTCCTCCCCAAGAGTCTTTTATGTCATACATACAGGAATTTTATGTAAATATGAATAAATATATATTGAACTGATCAGCTGACCTTTTGTTGACATGTTTTATATAGTTCACTCCAATACCACTATGAGAGAGGTATTTTAACTATTTCATCATATGAAGAAATGAGGTTATTTTGCCCCAATTCATATCATCTCCTGCGACAGGAGTAAGAATTCTATCATGTCTGTTAGGATTCTGTACATGCGCAGCTCAGGGTCTAGCATCTTACATCATCAGCAGGCACTGGTGACTACATAGTCATACAATCTGAGTCTTAAAAAAGCCGGATGCGGACCCGGCCCTCTTTCTCTGCTCTCTCTCTCTCTCTCTCTCTCTCTCTCTCTCTCTTCCTTCTCTGCTCTCTGCTCTCTGTTCTGCTCCTGCCATCTTTCTTTCTCTCCAGGCCTGGCTCTCCTCTCTCCTATTCCCTCCTTCTTTCTAATAAAGCTCTTTGTAACTCTAGTAGTCGTGGCCATGGCCCGTGACTTTTTCACCGGTAACCAGTGCTGCCACCAGCACCATTTATCATAACCCTCAGTGCCTCCAAAATTCAAATTATGACAATGCCAACCCCTTCTGCATACAGAGCCCATGCAACACAAAGCTCCCTCACCTACGGACTACACCTGTGTGCTACTGGACTGTGCAGACATGACGCAAATCTGACTCCATGATTTGCAACTTAGAAGTCCCATTTCCTTGGATAGTAAGAACAAAGACAGAAAACACAGGTGAAGGGTAACGCATCAAAGTAAGGAGAGAAATGGAGAAAGGAGAGAGGTCCCTGGCTCTAGAAGCTTCTCCCTGGAGTGCTAGCTAGACAGGTAGCCTCTAACAGTGAGCCCCCTTAGGCCATTGTATTAGTTCTTCGCTTTCCTAAGTGTGAAATACTAGCAATAGGCAGACTATCCCAGTGCAGGCAATAGAAGAGGGAGGCAAGGCTTGCAGCACTGGATGCTCAAAAGGGAACTAACTGCCAGGAGGGAAGCTCTGACAGTCCCAAGCACTCTTCTGTCCCACCTTACTTGACCTTCTCCACATTCCCTGGGGCGTGATTCATTAGCACTTCTATACATGAGGACCCTGAAGATGAGAGAGAATAACTCTAGAGAATTCTAAAGATGATAAAGCCTGTTCCTATAAATCAGAGATCAACAACTCCAGCCTGCAGGCTAAACTCAGCCTACACCCTGCTCCTGTAAATAAAGTTTTATTGGAGCAGAGCCACACCCATTCTTGTTTATGTGCGTGGCTGATTATCAGGCTGCGAGAGCCTGAGAGATGGCACTGAAACCCATATGGTCTGCTCAGCCCAAAGTGTTCTCTACACCTTTGCAGCAAGGGTTGGTTGCCTTCTGGGCAGCTGTGCTCGTGGCGTGATTTCATATTCTGATGGCCCTGGTTCTGTGTAGCTCGAGTTTTCCTGCCTTGCCCACAGTCAGGACAAATATCTGTCACACGCCAGTCCCACAGCCACTCAGACCCAACCAAGTAAACACAGAGACTTATATTGCTTACAAACTGTATGGCTGTGGCAGGCTTCTTGCTAACTGTTCTTATATCGTAAATTAATCCATTTCCATAAATCTATACCTTGCCACGTGGCTCGTGGCTTACCGGCATCTTCACATGCTGCTTGTCATGGCAGCGGCTGGCAGTGTCTCCCTCTGCCTTTTGTTCTCTCAATTCTCCTCTCTGTTAGTCCCGCCTATACTTCCTGCCTGGCCACTGGCCAATCAGTGTTTTATTTATTGACCAATCAGAGCATTTGACATACACACTATCCCATAGCAATTCTGTTTGTGTATGTGCTTTGTTTTAATTTGGTATTGAGGTTAGCTGTCTCTTGACAGCAGCTACAAGGAGCTACTGTGTGTGTGTGTGAGTCACGTGTGAGGGTGAGGAATTTATGTTCAAAAGGAGTGGAAAGAGGGAGAGGAGGGGGAAGGAGGGAAGGGGGAGGGAGGGAAGGAGGGAGAACCATCTCACAGCTATGCCTTCATTAAGATCCACAGACACAGGCTAGGAAGACAGTCCAGTCAGTAACCCACTTACCTTGCAAGCACCAGAGCCTGAGTTCAACCCTCAGAACACGGTTTAAAAATGCTGGACATGTTGGTAACCCCAGAGCTGGAGAAGTGGAGACAGGCAGATCCCTGGGGCTGGCTGGTCAGGGAGCTTAGCCTATGCTGCATGTTCCAGGCCAGTGAGAGACTCTGTCTCAAAACAAACAAACAAACAAAACAGACTGACAGACAGACAAATAGTGGAACAGAACCAGAGAAATAACATCAAGGTTGTCCACTGACCTTCACATACAGAGGTATACACATACAAGTGTGTATGCACACGTGCGCGTGCGTGCACACACGCGCACACGCACACACACAATCAGTGGGCATTATCCCTTAAACTTACCTGAAATGTTGTGATTGGCTGATTTAAAGACATGTTCTCAGAGGGGTCAACTCCTTAGAGACCAGAGCACTGTTAGCCTTCCTGTGGTCAGCAGCTGAAGCATGCTTGGAGTTTTAGAGCTGATGTAAGTATTACAGCAATCGCACAGGGGGATGCTTTAATTAGGCTAAAGGTGACAAGTTGTGTCAGGTCTGAAAAACCAAATAACTTAAGTCAGGCCTCAGGCTGGATGCAGAGGGGACAGCTTCTCAAATGAATGTCTGACAGCTGTTTCCTCAACTTACATCTTATTCAGGTCCTTGATGGACAGATTTTGAAAAGCCAAATATCACTAGCATCACATTTATAAATTCTAATTTGTAAACACCTATTTATTGGAAATTCAAGCACTAACATTTTGGAACAATAGTTTTCAGTGACATATTTTAAAGTAAGTGGGGAGGCAGGGCTTCAGTACAGTCTACCTGCCTCAGTGTGCAATCTAGTCTTCTGTTTACCTTTGTTGCAAGACATCTTAGGCTGACCCAGAAACTTGAAGAAGAAGAATGCTAGGGAGCATTTGCTTTCTAAGTAAAATTGTCGGTTTCGCCATCTCTATCCTTAGCCATAAAATTCAGTCATGCGGATGGTGGGCAAGCAATAAATATTTATTGGATGGATGGACTGAAAAATGACTGTGATGTGATATAGTTAGCCTTTCACTTATTCCAGGATAAAACAGTCTGAATTCAATAAGCATCATACTTGCTCGCCATGTGTCTGGCACCAGCTGGGCCCTGGCACACAGTATAAATAAGATCCCTCTTCTGGGACTTTATAACCTAGAAGGAAATGTAGATACGCCAGGGCCTTGCCTGGGTCTAACTGAGCAAGTACAATCATCTGCTTGTTTTCACGACTTTTAGAACAAGATAGCAGCAAGAAGGGAAGAGAAGGACTGGGGAGATGGCTTAATGAGCAAAAGTGTTTGCCGTGCAAGTTTGAAGACCTGTGTTCAACCCCCCCCCCCCCAGAACGCTGTAAACCTGGACGGATAGAAGAGTTGTCTGTGGTCTAAAGTTCATGAGTTCCCACTAGCTTGGTTTGGTTGTCTCTGTAAGTTTCCCCATCATGAGCTTGATGCTCCTTGCTCATAGAATCCCTCTTCTCTCTTCAACTGGACTCCTGGAGCTCAGCCTGGTGCTTGGCTGTGGATCTCTGCATCTGCTTCCATCAGTTACTCTATGATGATAGTTACAGTATTCACCGATCTGATTACCGGGGTAAGCCACTTCAGGCACCCTCCACTATTGCTAGTAGTCTAAGCTGGGGTAATCCTTGTGGATTCCTGGGAACTTCCCTAGAATCAGGTTTCTCCCTGTTCCCATATCACCTTCTATTATGGTATCTCTTTCACGTGGGACTGGACTAGGCCCTCTGTATAAGCAAGACAGTTGTGTAGCTTGATCTCCTTAAGGGGCCCCTGGCAGTAGGATTAGGATCCATGCCTGATGCATGAGCTGGCTTTTTGGACCCCGGTACCTATGGTGGGACACCTTGCACAGCCTTGATGCAGGAGGAGGGGTTTGGTCTGCCTCAACTGAATGTACCAGGCTCTACTGACTCCCCATGGGAGGCCTCACCTTGTCAGGGGAGGAAATGGGGGTGTGTTGGGGGGGGCAAGGCTGGGGGACATGAAAAGGGAAGAGAGAGAGGTCTGTGGTTGGTATGTAAAAATGAATAAAAAAAATCTTAATATTAAAAAAAAAATGTATCTGTGAGCCCTGTGTTCCAACGGGGAGATGGGAGGTAAAGTCAGGTGGAGCTCCTGTGCCAACTAGCCTGGTGTATGCAGTGGTGAACTACAAGAGAGAAAAATATAGATGGAAAGGCATCCCAAATGAGGAAAGAGATGCATGCTTCTTACTCAGCCCCAAAATATTCCTCCGCTCTAGATTATTCTTGTACATTGTCTTCATTTAATCCCCCTAACAAGCATTGGAAGCATAATTAGTGTTCTCATTTTGTAACTAAGACTGAAACACAAGTCATTAATAAATCAAGGACCAAAATTCAAAATACATCTTTTCTGTTTTGTTTCCCACTGTACAATCTAGGTTTCCCACAGCCATGGGTGAGGTGTGGCCCCTGCCCCCAGCACTGTGGGATGCACAGGCCTGAGCCAGGTAACAGCAGCAGTTCGGAAAGTTATGCATCTTCTCCTGACCTCATTTGGATAAGGCACTGGGAAAGACTAATTTGATTGCACACTGTCGATTGTGGCTTGCTGGTGAATCTACTCTCCTCCATCACCCTAGAAAGGAAGAAAAAAAAATGAAAGCAAAGAATAAGGATTTTGATCTCGTGTTTATCCCAGAGAAATGAACATTCTTAATTTTTTTTTTTTTTTTTTGTGTGTGTGTGTGTGTGTGTGTGTGTGTGTGTGTGTGTGTGTGTGTGTGCAGGTGAGTTCAGGTGTCCACTGAGACCAGAAGAGGGAGTCAGATTCCTTGTAGCTGGTGGTTGTCAGCAGCCTGATGTGGATGTTGGGAACAGAACTCAAATCCCTTAGAAGAGAGTAAAAACACTCTTAACTGCTGAGCCATCTGCCCAGCCTCCAAAATTAACATTTTTTGATGGCTTTTTTCTTTTCTTTCCTGCTGAGAACACTACTTTTGCCCTGGCCCACCTCTCTAATCCCAAGAGAAAAAAAAAAAAAGATTAGAATTTGTCTGTGAAGAAATACAAGGACATATGTCCTTGGACATATGTCAACTCAAAAGTGCTATCACCCGGCAAGCTACTTTTGTCTGCCTCCGACACACCAGAAGTTAACCATAGCTCTTCTCGCTTACTGCGGTCTCTCACAGTACACACTCATCACTCACGGTTGCGCTGCTCACTGCACAAAGGTGATGCCTGGAACTGGGTGACATGCACGAAACAGATTTCATGGCTCTGTCTAACTGCTAGGACCATTCCATGCTTAGCAACCAGGTGCCTCATAGCATAAACATTAGATAGCAATTTTCTGACAGAAAACCTTCACAGATGCTTTCTCTAATTTTGACACAGAAGCTATATGGGCTAGTAGCATATCTGTAAGGAATATTCTGTTTGTCTATGCATCTTGGGCTTTGTATCAGCTAGTTACATCTGAAATATACCGCACAACAACTACAAAAACTTTCAGTAACTAATAATGGTCACTGGAAAAGGAAAAAAAAAAGTACTGTTTGTGGGTCTACGGATTCATTGTACTCTGCTGGCCTCGGCTGCACATGGATCTGGACCAGTTTGCAATCTAGGCCACAGGTCAGGTTTAGTTCTGCTCTGTGGTCCCTTCTGAGACAATGCTTCTCTCATGCAGACAGCAGGAACTTATGCCAAACCACACAGACACATTAAAAACCTTGGTTAATGTCATACCCTCTTACCTGGCACACACCAAAACAAGCTTCACAGTCAAAGACATCAGAAAGGGAGAGATAGATGCATACCAGTCTCATGGAGGTAGAAAAAGGAGACTGAATTTTTGTTAAATACAACGTAACCATCCACAAACCTACTCTGTGCTACTATGAAACAGAAGAAAGATGTGTCTTAGGGAAAACCCACCACTGCTACAGCCAAAGACAATGAGACATTTCTTCTACATGGAGGCAAGCCATCTCCTATAAAGCCAGTGGGCTTTGAGCATCAGGCTTCTGTTGAGTGGCAGTTCCCTCCGAGATTAAAACCTTCCGTCTTAGAGGGACATTTCTTAAGACAGATAATGTAGGCTGGTGAAACTACAGGAGGTGGAACGTTCCACAGTTCAGGAAAACATGTTAAGATCAGGAAGTAAACAACTCAAAGGTTTCAGGAAGGCCCTAAAACTGACCAATACACTAGGCCCCTCCTTCTTCCTGAATATAAAGGTAGTACAGACTGCTGTGAGAGGTAACTGTCAAAACCAATCAAGCTACCTAAAATAGGCAGAGAGCAGCCCAACTGCCTGGAATAGGTAAAGCTGCCTGGAAGAGGCTCAGACCAACTGGGCCACCTGGAAAGGACACTCTCCTACCTGTTAAGATGCCTGCAGGCTGTGCAGTGTGCACAGCTTTTGTGAGCTGTCACCCATGCTGGGGTGGGCTTTGGTTCTGAAGCTGTCTCTTAGTTACTTCTACTCCTGTAAGTAACCTTCATCCATAGTCCTGTAAGTAACCCCAATAAAACTTACTTATTGGTTCACCAAAGTCGGCGTTGGTCGTCTGTCCTTACTAGGTTCATTATTAGTTCCATATCTGGGGTGAGTAGACGTTTGTTCCTATCATCCCAGGACTAGTGTCCCACCACAGATTTACATGCTGTTTTAGAATCCATCTTCTTTGTCACCTTGTCATAGACTAGTGTAACAGATTGGGGCACTGATGAACATCGCCTGTAAAGAACCAGATGGTAAAATATTTTCACTTAGCAGACTACAAAGTCTCTGTTCCAACGACTTGACCCTGACATTGCAGTACGGAAGCAGCCATCGGCAACACTTAAATAGTCATAACTATGTTCTAATAACCTTTATTTACAAAAATAGATAATAGCCTAGAGTCCATTCCAAAGGTGGAGTTTATATCCCTTGTTACAGATTCAGCTCTAAAGGGTGTGTGTCTCCCGTGTTCGGTATCTGCTGCTGCATACCACACCACCCCAAGATAAGTGGCTTGAAACTATTTTCTTTTCTCTTATGATTTTGCACACGAATTAGGTGTGACAGGCGACTCACTGCTCCACGTGAGACTGCTACATCTGCAGGCATTCAGGTGTCCACGGGGCTCGGATGTTCAGGGTGGCTTGCTCACCTGTCCAGCCCCTTAGCGAGATTGACTCAGATACTCAAACAGCTGCATGCCAGCTGTTAGGTCTCTCCTTTTAGCCCGCCCCCCTAAAGCCGAGGGCCAGACCTGTCGTTTCTACAATATTCTGTAACAAAGCACCTCATCCTCCATGTGGTCCATGTTACCCAGGCCTCCTCAGGCGGGCCTGTGTCTGAATTCTGACTTCCCTACTCCTAAATCATCGTGTGAAGTGACATCATTTTCACACTGGAAGATGATTTCTTATGCTATATGGCAACAGCCAAGTGCCCTGCGTGAGGGGCTGGAGAGATAGCTCAGTGGTTAAAAAGCACTTGTTGCTCTCACAGAGGACCAGTCCCAGCATCGCATAGGGCCCACCATCCTATGTGACTCCAGTTCCATGAAATCTGATACCTTCCTCTGACCTCCTTGGACAAGGGTACATAACATCGTTCACATACATACATGCAGGCAAGACACTCATACACACAAAATAAATATTAAAAAAAGAATGTACCCAATTCTAAAGGCTCCTCAGCTCCCACCCCATGAACAAATGGTGTCCCAATCTAGCCACAGATAGAATTAGTCAAGTCAATGCAGTTAGTTCTAATCCTGCCTGATATGAAGTAAACATTTTAGGCACTCATTAAGTGAGGCTCCTCGGTAAAAAAAAAAATAAAAAATAAAAAAAATAAAAAATGAATAAATAAACCAGCTCTGGCTCCATGTGCCATGGGGAAAGAATAATGCACCATGTCTGGATTTGGCAAAGGTCGCAGGGTGGAGGCAGAAGCAGGGAGTTCCCTGTGCTCCTGTACAGCGTGGAATCCAATACATTTCTCAGAAACCTAACAGCCTCTAGGAACACACAGGCTTAGGGGACACCTGCACCCCCATAACTGAACTCCTCGACCATTGCCATTTTAGATTTTATGATGGAGCCACTGCCATTCGAAGGTCACGGGGCAATACTGATGATGGTGGATGCACTCCCCAGAACTGTGAACTTCCCCTGCACGGGATTCCAGTCTACTGCCATTGACCTGGCCCCTCTCCAACCCTACCCTCAGCTGTCACTGCATGACCCGGTCCCAACGTCACAAGGACTTTTCAGACTCTCCTCAGTTTAGACCATGCTGACTTTTGCCTGAAACCACATCATCCATGGGCATTCACCTCCGCACACCTTCTCCCTGTTCTCCTGGTCTGCTCTCCCCCAAGACCTCCTCATTCCAGCTCCTGGCCCGAGATAGGAAGTTGAAAGGGGTCAATAAAAGAAGCAATGGGTTACCACAGACCTGTTTTCCGGGTCCAATCATGCAAAGCAGTTGACCAGGAAGAAGGCAGAGTAATCACGCCTTGTGCATAGACGTGTCAGGAAGTGCCTCTATTCTTGCTCTGAGGAAAAGGAGGCTGCCCCATTCCATTCCATGTGGCATGGAAGCCCCTGAGGGGTGGTGCATGGTAAACAGACCCTTCCATAGCCTAAACTTCTAATCCAGTGACCGTGTACCTGCCCTCTATCCTGTGTGTTGCATACTGGCCAAACCATAAATCTGAGCTGTCCACGCCCGGCAAAGGTCACAGCAGACATCCTGGACGCCATTTTCCCTAATCCCTTCCTAAGCTACCCTTTGTCTGGCCACCGACTCTTGGTTCTATCTCCCATTCTTAGCCCTGTTGGCTTGACAGATGGCTTGACAGTGCTTTGCTCTGGGCTCTCAAGGCACTAGTTTGGTCTTGTTCCTCACCTTTCTTAGTTCTTACGTTCAGTGTATAAGGCCGCCCTGAATCCTTCCCCAGCTTCAGTCACATCTCCCGGAATCTTTGAGATGGGATCAGAGAGTCAGAGAGATTGGGCCGTCTTGCTCTGAGTACGTGGCCCAGATCAGGCACTCCCGGGTACTGCAGACAGACCTTGACCTCATAAGCAACCGTCCTAGCAAGCAGAGACAACTGGCCCACAATGAGCTATTTCTGAACAAGTCTACGGAAAGCGCTGATGAAAGGTGATACCCAGAGGAAGACTAGCCAGACTGAAATACTTAAGGAGACAAAGCATCTTTGAGAAATGAAATTAATTAACTGCTTCCAAAGGGGGCAGAAAGTAGGAGGCTGGGAGGGGGTGGGAATTTTCGTATAAATTCCCAAAGAACAAGGGACTTGAAAGTGCACTGTGGGAATTTCAAGCCTGAAATTAAAAAAATGCCTTCTGACATCGTAGCTTAGCGGTGTGTGTGTGAGGCACTCACAACTGGGTTTGGGTTATGTGTAAAGGAAGGCCCTGACAGAGAAACACAATAAATTAAATGCATAAATCGAGGGGATTGGGGCTTTTTAAAAGTTACAGCACAATATTCTCTGAGGGTGATTTTAGACTAGACCTTGACAGGGTGAGATCGTGAATATAAAAGTGAGCTATTGTCAATCGGAAGGTACTGCTGTAGGAATAAGGTTCTCAGGAGCAACCAAAGGGAATTTCAAAGATCTAGTTGACATTCTCTGTGTCTTGGAGCCCATTTCCCTGGGATTTAAGAAACCGTAAGGATTTTGAGGTCTTGCAATAGCTACATAAAATGCTGCTTCGTATGAGACTCACAGCCATGGTGCCTTGGTCACAGACATTTCATTTCTGTCTCCCGTATCAAGTGCTCAGGCTCACCAGCCCCCACCCCCCAAAACCTCACAAGATTTGCCAGCTCCCGAGTGTAGAGGGGACAATAGCTACACCTTGTCTGTCCACCACTGATCTCAGGAACAGAGAAGAAGAATGCGGACAGGCCACTGGGGGTGGAGGGGAGTCAGAGGATCAAGAGGCATCCAACCCAGGAAGGAAGAAAAAACATATTTATGAGGTCACGTGACATTGATCATCCAACCAGAAAAGGATTTTTCTGCCAGACCTTGAGCTAAAGGAAGATTCTCTTAAAGTAAATAACTTGCTTTTATCAAGCCTATGTGAGAAGCTGTGTGTGTGTGTGTGTGTGTGTGTGTGTGTGTGTGTGTGTGTGTGTGTGTGTGTTCAACCTCAGTCCCACCATTTTGATCCTATAGGTAGTTTAACTCCATTGCTTGACCCCAATAGCATTTTAATGCCCTGGTAACCAGAAATTTAGCTCTCAGTTCCCCAGAATGACTGTTGTTTCCTTGGTATGGTATGAGGTGTGTGTGTGTATGTGTGTGTGTATGTATATGTGTGTATGTATGTGTGTATGTGTATGTATGTGTGTATGTGTGTGTATGTGTATGTATGTGTAGGCATGTATGTGTGTATGTGTATGTGTATGTGTGTATGTATGTGTGTATGTGTGTGTATGTGTGTATGTGTGTGTATGTGTGTATGTGTGTGTGTATGTGTGTGTATGTGTGTGTATGTATGTGTGTGTGTATGTATGTGTATGTGTGTATATATGTGTGTGTAGGTGTATGTGTGTGTATGTGTGTATGTGTATGTATGTGTATGTATGTGTGTATGTGTGTGTACATGTATGTGTGTATGTATGTGTGTATGTATGTGTATGTATATGTGTGTATATGTGTATATGTGCATGTATGTGTGTATGTGGGTACGTGTGTGTATGTGTGTGTATATGTGTGTCTGTGTGTGTATGTATGTATGTATGTGTATGTATGTGTATGTGTGTGTATGTGTGTGTATGCGTGTGTATTTGTGTGTGTATGTGTGTGTATGTGTGTGTATTTGTGTGTATGTGTGTGTATGTATGTATGTGTATGTGTATGTGTGTATATATGTATATGTGTGTATGTATGTGTGTATGTGTATGTATGTGTGTGTATGTGTGTGTATGTGTATGTGTATGTGTGTGTATGTGTATGTATGTGTATGTGTGTGCATATGTGTGTATGTATGTGTGTATGTGTGTATGTATGTGTGTATGTGTATGTATGTGTGTATGTGTATGTATGTGTATGTGTGTGTATGTGTGTATGTATGTGTATGTGTATGTGTGTGTATGTGTGTATGTATGTGTATGTGTGTGTGTATGTGTGTGTGTGTATGTATGTGTGTATGTGTATGTATGTGTGTGTATGTGTATGTATGTGTGTATGTATGTGTGTATGTATGTGTGCATATGTGTGTATGCATTTTCTCTGTTACTTACTCTCCTTTTCCCTCTCCTCACATGTGATGTTTCTTTGAGCTTCTGTCTCCCTGGCTCCTGTGGGTCTCCCTCTGTGGATCTCTCACTTTCTCTGAGCCTGCGCCTTCGTCTCTGAGGTTTTCTCCATGCCTTTGTGTCCACGTTTGCACATCTGTCCCTCTGAGTTTCTTGACTTCTTTCTCCACTCTGACCTTCCCCTTCCTTCCCCCCATTTCCAGAGAAAGCTTCTCTTTCTCTGGACCTAATAAAAATTAAAATTTCATAAAAGATAGAAAACAAATTAAAAGGATTTACTATGCTCGTCAGAATATTAATAAGAATGTTAGATGAATTATTGAGGTTGTTTAAGAAATATGTTTTCAAAAATGATAAAATTGCTATGATTCCATTAAAATTCTTATGTTTGCAATTCGCTTACGACAAATGGGCAAGGTCAAAAGATTCTACACTTTAAATCA